TCCGGGCCCTTAAACGTCACTGCACCTCAAACAGGAATGCCACTGTCAAGGAAATAACAGAATGGGCTCAGGAATACTTCCAGAAAGCATCGTCAGTGAACACAATCCACCGTGCCATTCGCCGTTGCCAGCTGAAACTCTACAGTGCAAAGAGGAAGCCATTTCTAAGCAAGTTCCACAAGCTCAGACATTTGCACTGGGCCAGGGGTCATTTAAGATGGAGTGTGGCAAAATGGAAGACTGTTCTGTGGTCAGATGAGTCACGATTTGAAGTTCTTTATGGAACACTGGGACGCCATGTCATCCGGACCAGAGAGGACAAGGATAGCCCAAGTTGTTATCAACGCTCTGTTCAGAAGCCTGCATCACTGATGAATTCAAAAAGCGTTCAATACAAAAACAACTGGACTTTATTTGTAACAGAAGACGTTTCGCTCCTCATCCGAGGAGCTTTCTCAATTCAAAGAGCAGTGAGTGAGGGGTTCAGGTTATAAGGCTGAGTGAGATAAGACACACACACACATATGTAGATTGGCAGTTCACACCTAAACACCTAAACAGTAGGTCTTTGTTCATCTAATTCACTGACGAGGCCCCTCTGTTCCCATCAAGTGTGAAAACCAGCTGGGAATCTGTTTTAAAGTTGCATTATATGTTTTTGAAAGTGGAAATCTGAGGCCTCCTCTTCTGTTAAGAGACGGCTTTTCTCTTATCACTGATGGTATGGGGTTGCATGAGCGCTTGTGGCATGGGCAGCTTGCATGTCTGGAAAGGCACCATTAATGCAGAGAACTATGTTCAGGTTCTAGAACAACATATGCTCCCATCTAGGCGTCATCTCTTTCAGGGAAGACCCTGCATTTTTCAACACAATAATGCCAGACCACATTCTGCAGCAATCACAACATCATGGCTACGTAGGAGAAGGATCCGGGTACTGAAATGGCCAGCCTGCAGTCCAGATCTTTCACCTATAGAGAACATTTGGCGCATTATAAAGAGGAAGGTGCGACAAAGAAGGCCCAAGACGATTGAACAGTTAGACGCCTGTATTAGACATGAATGGGAGAGCATTCCTATTTCTAAACTTGAGAAACTGGTCTCCTCTGTCCCCAGACGTCTGTTGAGTGTTGTAAGAAGAAGGGGGGATGCCACACAGTGGTAAAAATGGACTTGTCCCAACTTTTTTGGGATTTGTTGATGCCATGAAATTTGGAAACAGATTTTTCCCTTAAAATGATACATTCTCTCAGTTTAAACTTTTGATCTGTGATTTGTGTTCTATTCTGAATAAAATATTAGATGTTGGCACCTCCACATCATTGCATTCAGTTTTTATTCACTATTTGTTTAGTGTCCCAACTTTTTTGAGAATTTTTAAGACTGAACAAATCTAACTGCATGATGTCAAAAGCGGATTGTAAAAGCTGGATGTCATACAAAAATAATTTAAAAGCTTTTATTAAAATATTTACCAGACTTGACTGCTTTATACAGCTTCTTCTCAGTGGAGCCCATGTTGTGACACAGGGAATGGGGCCTTTAACATGGCAAAAAAAAACGTAGTCGGCCAAAAGTCACTCTTTGCTATGTTTTTCGTCCTCCTGAGAACTCAAGTCCTTCTTGAGGCTCAGAAAAATGTGATCTCACACATCGCCTCCATGTCACTCTCGTCACTTTCCCTCATGCTGTCCTCATCATTCCCCAGAAGACTTCTGGTGACATGATAACAGAGTGGTTGGAGTTATGGTAGGGAATTTGAAACCCTCAGCGAGAGGCTTTGTACATGTGACTAACTGAGGGCATTCACTCTGTATAACAAAAGCCCACTGCCAAGAGGGGTTGGTGCAGGGCAGCTCAGTGAGCAGCAGCCCAGCTCTGTCAAAGGAAACTGTTAGTCAGTGACAGGAAGCTGCCGAGAGATGGCAGGAAGTCTTTCAAAATAAAATGTAAACTATGAAAAAAAAATTGCCGCTTCTGCGGGGTACGGCTTATAAACAGGCAATTATGGTAATAATGTCAATGTCAATTTATTTATATAGCACATAAAAACAACTACAGCTGACCAAAGTGCTTTACAGTTAAGACAAATTAAAAAAGAGTAAAAATGCATCTAGTGCCACTCAAAAACATAAGTTGACAGTAAAAACAACACATAACAACAATAAAATCAGCTCAACTTGTTCTCAGACTCTGCGTGGATGAAATGCCAAGGAATACAGATGAGTCTTGAGCAAAGATGTAAAAGTCTCAACAGTCTGAGCGCTCTTTAAATGCTCAGGTAAACTGTTCCACAGTTTTGGAGCAGCAACCGCAAAAGCCAGATCACCTCTGGATTTAAGTTTGGATCTGGGGACATCTAAGAGGAACTGGTTGGTAGACTGGAGTGCTCTTACTGGAGTGTAGATGTTAATGAGATCACATAAATATGAAATAAGAAGAATAGATTTCTGAGTCCAAGCTTTGTCACACAGGCACATTTAATAACAAACAGCTGTAACTGTACAAAATAAATGTCTAAGAAATAAACTATTTACATATACATTATGCTGTATTGTTTTGCATTGTTAGATTTTAGCATATAACTTAGATCTTTTTGCGTTCGTTTGGCATATATCTTAGATCCTTCTATAATGTTGCTATTTACTTTTTTATTTATTTTTTGCTATTGTTGGGTGTAACTGGGACCCTGTGTACATAATTTCGTTCCACCTCATGTACATGTTGTAACGACAATAAAATTGACTTGAACTTGAATATATTAAATAATAATCCTCTTCAGCTGCGCGGCCTTCACAACGTTAGTAAGCGTGTGTGAACTGCAGCTGCAGCTCTGACTCTTGACTTCAGCCTCCTTCCCTGAAACAAACCACGGTACAAAACTCATTTAGCAGTGCTGTGCCTTATGAGAGGAGCAGTGAGAGGTAGCACGACATTAATAAAGCAGTGGCTTATATTGCTAAAGACACGGTCCCCGTCTCAACTGCGGAACAAGATGGCTAAAGTTAGCCGTCTTACATATATTACATTTGAGTTGACCTACCGCTTTAAGTCGAGTATAACTTTTTAGCTGCCTTATTGTTGGTTTAAGACATGGTTTATAGTTTTACTGACCTGATTCTGACTCTAGTGTGGTGATGAACTGAGAGTCAGAGCCAGATGAGGCAGTGAAAGTAGTCCGGCGCAGCGCGTCAAAGATGAGGCACTCTGTTACTTCTACACCATGAACCCGGAGGTGTTGGTTGCGTGCCTTCCTTTGCGCGACATAAAATTATTGCAAGTGCTGCACTGAGCCGACTGGTCATATCTTTTATTAAAATTAAGCCACACCTTCGATCGCGGCCGCTCACTGTCCATGGATGCACACACTTCCTGCGGATTCTTGTTCGTTGGTGCTCGGCAGCTTCTTCCGGTTGGCGGACCGGGCGTCGAAAGTAGAAATTGAAAATAAAAAATTTGAACAATTCCGGGAGAACCGGAATGTTGGTCCCGATTTCACTCGATTATCGAGACTTGATGCCCAACCATACATAAGACATAAAAAAAAAAAAAAAAAAAAAAAATATGAAGCAGGTCAAATAAGCGATTAATGTAGGCCAATCTAACTTGGAAAAAAATTATGATTAAGAGACGCCAGCCCCACAGTCTTTTCCCGTCCTCGCTGCCCGTTGCTGAGATGATATTCTTTTTGACATAGACCATGGCTTTATTCAGGGCCACAAACTCCTTGTCCTCCTTACCCTGAGTGATGCGAAGTCATAGAGGAAAAAGTAGCTCATAGTGAACATGTTGCTGGCTGCAAAGTAGCCTCCTCACCTCTGTGAACGCCGCCCGAGCCTTGGCTACACTCGTCATATAATCCACTGGAATCATGATCGGTGTATCCTTGAAGCAGAATGAGCCACGACTGCGCACACACCGTGATATTTCCACGCAGTCTTGGTAGTGGTGCAGTTTAGCTACAACTCTCGGCTTGTCACCTGACTTATTCCCATCCGGCTTCCAGTGCAAGTGGGTGATCAGTGGCGACTTGTTCAGCTGCAGCACCTCTGTTAGCAACTATGGTGGAGCTTGACTCCGGTGTCTCAGGGACACCAATAATCCACACATTGCACCTTCTCATATGTTCCTCCACGTCCTCACATTTCTTTTTCAGCCCATTCATCTCATCTTTCTGTTCCATCATGGTACTGTGCAGAGCTGCAACCTCACCCGACCAGGTGGACAGTCCATCCTCAACATGTTTCACACTCAGTTTAACCTGGTCCAGATCTGCTCGGAGTACAGTGGTGCTGTTAGCCACCTCCGCTCTCACTGCTTGAAGGTCACCCTCAATAAAGGCGAGATCTTCTGCGAGGGTGGCTTTCATTTCTCATTTAATTACCACTGAAATATCAGCTTTTATTGAAGCCGGACTGTCCGACTTCTGGGCCGACACGTCCGTTTCTCTGGGACTTGGTGGGGGCGGAGCCAATTCCCTGCCTTTAGAAGTACCGTGGCCCGAGGCGGTGTCGGGCCCAGCGGCCATCTGCTTCAACTGGCTGGGTTTGGGAGGAACAAATACACAATGGCAGGTCAAGAATCACGTTAAGATGGAAAGAGTATCAAATGAAAAATATTTAATTGTAACAATTTATTTAAGGAAATTAGGTCAATTTGTCCTCTAGTAGTCTAAGCCTATAGCAGCATAACAAGTCAACCCTAACTATAGGATTTATCAAAAAGGAAAGTCTTGAGCTCAGTCTTAAAACTGGACAATATGTCAGCGTCATGGACAGAACCTGGAAGTTGGTTCCACAAGAGAGGAGCCTGATAACTGAAAGATCTTCCTCCCATTCTGCTTTTGGAAACTCTAGAAACCACAAGTAAACCTGCAGTCTGAGAGCAAAGTGCTCTTTTGGGAAAATATGGAACAATAAAATCTGTAATATAAGATGAAGCCAGGTTGTTGAGAGCTTTGTAGGTTAGAAGTAAGATTTTGAATTCAATTCTGGATTTGACAGGGAGCCAATGGAGAGAAACTAAAACTGGAGAAATATGATCTCTCCCACTAACTCCAGTTAAGACTCTGGCAGCAGCATTTTGGATCAACTGCAGACGTTTTAAAGAAGTATTTGGACACCCAGATAATAAACCATTGCAATAGTCCAGTCTAGACGTGACAAATGCATGAACCAGTTGTTCTGCATCACTTTTAGATCAGATGTTTCTAATTTTAGTGATATTACGCAGATGGAAGAAGGAGGTTCTAGTAACATTTTTAATGTGGGGGATAAAAGACATGTCCTGATCAAAAATAACACCAAGATTTTTTAAGATTATAGTTGGAGGCCAGATTAATGTCATTTAAGGAGGGAGAAAGACTGAAAAATTAATTCCTAAGATGCTCAGGTCCAAAAACTAAAACCTCAGTCAGTCACACAACAGCTGAATATTGGAGCATCCAACGTAAAAATAGAGAGAACGTTTTCTCAAAAGGCACTTTTCAAGCAGTACTGGCGGGAGTCCATTCTAAGACAACCCTACTCCTCCTCCGCCATCTTGTTCCCTCCACATGTAGATTTTTACTTGAGCTGTTTTGTGAGTGAAACAGGATATTTTCTACCATTCGTGTTCAGGACATCAGCACTCGTTCTCTCTGAAACTGAATGTTTCTGACTCCTGATCTGTGTTTTTTCAGGGCAGACCCTCAGAGGTGTTACACACTCCAGGTGTGATGTCACACACATGCTCTCCAGGCAGCTGCAGTCAAAGTTTCCTTCTCTAACCACACAAACAAACAACATCCTCGGTCCAAAGGAACGTTCCTGTAGTCACCAGTTTGGGTGTAACTGTGATCATGCTGGTACGGCATGCAGCTGAGCCAGCATCAGGGTTGCCAGATAAATATTAATACATATTTTACCCCCTCCTTTTCTGAGCACATGTTCAGCAAACACAACAGCCTCACTCAGCACATGTGAGTTTGGGTCAAAATACAATGATTGTAAAGTCACCCTACTGAGAATCTTCACCAGCAAAGTCACCCTATTGTACATAGTTCATTTCTTATCTGGCAACCCTGCCTGGCATGGAAACTACATTTAAACCTGAATGTCTCCAACGGTTCTCGTGTGAGCAGAGCCTGAGGGTTGACAGGAAATTACTTAGATATTTATAAAGTCATCGTGACTTACGGGTCAACTTGTCGAACTTGTTTTGTTCCAGCGGAGAACATCAACGGGACAACACATCCTGTCTTGTAAATGAAGAACGGTGTGTTGTAGAGCAGCGTGGCTGGTTTTTATCCCACGCAGTCGAACGAAACAAAACGTTTCTCAGAGGAGTGCACGTCATCCACCAGCTTCCACACCACAGCTGCAGACTAAAGTTACTGCATCATCCACAAGAGTGAACAAGAAACAAAACACTCTGGATTAGTCCTTGTGCTGTCTAGGTTCAGTTGGCTCTGGCGGCCATCTTGATTCAGAACCTGACTATCTAGAGACACTGTGACTGTGGAGCAGTGGGCAGGTTGGACGGGTTCTTTTAACTAACTTGTAACTAAGCTCTTGGGACTGGTATCTGCAGATCCTGGACATCAACAGACTGTACTCCAATGAAGTCCACGCCATGGCCAACACGTACGGGATCGAAGTGGCCCTGAAGGTCATCGAGAAGGAGATCAAAGATGTCTTTGCTGTTTACGGTACCGGCTCGCCGACCCACTCTCTGTCAACAGGTTTGAGGCGGGCTCTGGCGGTGACAATTCTGTCTGTCTGCAGGTATCGAGGTGGACCCCAGACACCTGTCTCTGGTGGCAGACTACATGTGCTTCGAAGGCGCGTACAAGCCTCTAAACCGCCACGCCATCCAGTCCAACTCGTCTCCTCTGCAGCAGATGACCTTCGAGACGAGCTACAAGTTCCTCAAACAGGCCACCATGCTGGGTAAGCATGACGCCAACAGGAAGTGATGTCACACTTTACATGTTTCCTACAATGAGCACGTTTAAAGTGGTATTTCTGACATTTTAAAGGGGGGTTCTGTGGACATGTTATAAACAGGCAATATGTTTTGTTGTTGCATGGAGGGAAGTTTGAGGCTGACAGGACTGCTGCCGTCTTCAACCAGCTCTGAAGGAGTCTTTATGCTGCACTAAATTTAACATCAGATCATTGTTTCTGTGCTCATTTACACAAGCACATCTATAATCAGCAGCTAGCTTATTTCTATTCAAACAGCCGTGAAGTGTGAAATTTAAAGGTTTAAATATTGATTGATTGCTTTGGAAGAGTTCTCACTGATGAAGTCAGAGCAGCCTGCAGGTCTCCTTTACATCCACTACTGAACTTTTTACAGTTCTCTACTTTTACTGGCTTATTTCAGCACATATATGGGACATCGGTGCAGGAAGTGCCACGGTTGACCTCTGCCATGTGAAATGGTCTGTGAAGAACTGTGTGATAGTTCAGGTCCATGAAAGCAGTTGGCACGAACAGTTCAAATGTTTTGGATCGGAGCCGTTTCTTGACCGCAGCAGTCCACTCCGGGCCCATTTGAACGAGCTCTTACCTCAGTAATTCAGTGAGATTTAAGCTGTTTTAAAAACACCGTACAGCCTCGGCTCGACTCGCTTCACCCTCATTCATCCTGACCCGGTTCTACGCGGTCTCAGTAATTATACATATGAGTCCTCTGGACATTCAAAAAAAAAACCACCAAGTCATTGGTTCAGGTATGTTGACGACACCTGGGTTAAAAT